CTTTGCGGCTCCCGCGTGCCAACTCAAGTGTTTGGATAAACTCGTATGTTGAAGTGAGATTTACAGTACACAAACCCTCATACCGCTTTGCTTTACAATACAACCAAACTAAACTATTACGAGACACATTATAAAACACAAAGCTTGAGTTGGTGAATAGTGAACATTGAAAATAGTGGGCACTAAGCCATTTTTAAATAGTCTAAACTCTCAAATTCAACTTTAAAAAACAATCTGTTGCGCGTGCATTCATTTCCAGGCACATTGACTACAACGCGTCGCTCGCTTTCAGCGTAGTCAGGGTGTGAAAGCAAGCAAGCAAGAAAGAAACAAAGTTCACAAACAACTAAATATAGTGTGTATAAATAACGTAAATACAGTGTAGATAAATAGCTAAAGTGTAATAGTAAAGCATGAGTCTTACAGCACGCATAACGCGTAGGCGCCGTTGACGCTCTCGCTGTCCCGCACCAGGAAACTCCCATCGCGCCCGGCTCGCGCGAGCAACTCCTCCGCCGCGGCGCGACTCAGATCCCGGTGATACCACACACTCGCTCCGGCCATCGCGGAATCAAGGAACCCTCACAAAACACACACTCCCGGATCCACTGCGAATTAACGCGGCGCAGGGGCCGCGCGTCAGCCGCACGCACGCACCGCTCGGGCGTTTAAAGTTTTCAGAGTTTCTCCTGCTTTCCTGTTAGTTCCTGAAAAACCTCCATGAGAGAGAAAACACACACAACAGCAGCTCACATCCAACAGCAGGGGCGCACGGAGACACGGCGCGCGCGCGCATACACACACGCGCCCGCGCTACAGGTTTTTTTATGTGTATGATTTATTATTTATATTTTTTATGATACAGTTTGTTTATCTGCACCATAAACAGTGAAAGGGATGTTTGTCAGCGTGGTTTTAATGTGTTCGCTTTATTCAACAGGAACAATGTAATATTGTAAATTAGTTTTAGAAAATAAGATATGTGATGGCTGGTGTCAATTTGTGCAACAACGATGGTAAATAAAATAAATAAATAAATAAATGTGTGGTGTGGATGTGCGCGTGCACACACAGGCGTGTGCCATAGTGTCTGACGCACAGGGGCATGTTGTCACATAATTAGTTCTCAATGAATATCTCTTAGGTTTTGTGTTGTTATTGTGTTCGCTTTACTCAACGTAATATTGTATGGAAGACAGAATTGAGAAAATATGTAAATATCTATCTATCTATCTATCTATCTATCTATCTATCTATCTATCTATCTATCTATCTATCTATCTATCTATCTATCTATCCATCTATCTGCCTGTCTAATAATTATATAAAGTATATATATATATGAAGAGTTCAGGTGCAAAAGCCTCTAAATGCCATTTGAAATTTTCTTCTTTAATGATGATTTTTGTCAAGCTTGTATATTTAAGTTCAGTGATTTCACTTAAATGGCAATCATAATTACCTATTAATTGTTATTTAAGTGAAATTACTGAACTTAAATATACAAGTTTGACAAAAATCATCATTAAAGAAGAAAATTTCAAATGGCATTTAGAGGCTTTTGCATCTGAACTCTTCATATATATATATCATAAATTCAGCTATTTGTAGTTTTTTAGTTTTAAGTGAGCTTTTAATATTAGTATTTGAAAAAATTCTAAAACACATTCATAAATATTTAAATAAATGAAATAATAAGAAAATAAATAAAGAAATTAATGACTTGATTTAATTTAATTAATGTTTTCCTTCATTTGTTATTTTCTGTATGTCTTTTATTTGTATTTATTCATTCATTTATTTGTATATTTATTCATTCCCACATGAATTTATTTCCACATTTCTTTATTTTATGCATTTATATATTTGTATTTATTAAATTATGCTGTTTAAACTTAATATTTATTAGATAAATCCAAAGACTTCCCAGAGAGGTTTAATCTGTATTATGAAATGGATCATATACATTCATATATTAATAAAGCATATTTTATGTATTTAATCTTACTTTATTTGTTTTTATTATGTTACTGTGTGCTTGGCCAGAGCTCACTTGTAAATGAGAGATCTCAATGTGGTTTCCCTCGTTATAATAAATAAAGGTATAATAATAATTAAAAAAAAAAAACCCACATGGATTACCAAATGAAACAGGCCTAATATTAAATTCAAATGTTTTATTTCAAATCTAACATTTATCCGCACATAACAGAGGGGAATGTGATGCATTCTGGGGGATTTTGACATTCATCAGAGAGAAATGAGTCCAGATGTTCGAGGTGTTCTCAGCGCAGCATCATCCCGAGAAGCGCAAACACACACACACGCAGGCCTGTTGCCATGGCGACCGTCTCCGCGTCACCCCTCAGGTAGTATTCGGCCACTTTCTTGTTAGGGTTGGCTCCCTCGAACCACATCTGCATGCAGCGGCCGCTGTCTTTGCTGAGCGTCGTGAACTTGTAGGAGTTGGACCAGATCTTCTCACACATGTCCTGAGCGCTGAGGAAGACCTCGGTCCAGCGACGGCACTGAGAGTCTTTCGGACAGCGGTTCGTGCCTGCAGGGTTCAGAGAAACACAGATATTGTCTTTTAATGCCCTTTTAGAGGTTTTCCTGCTTGAATGTTGATTATTCTCCTCATATTCTCCATCGTTGCGGCTCCTCTCTCCCCAGTCTGTCAGTAACGCTCTGTTTAGCTCATGAAGCCCCTCCTTCTGAAAAGCACACTGTGTTCTGATTGGTCGGCTGGAGCAGCGTGTTATGATTGGTCGAGTGCTTTGAGTGTGTTTAGGAAATGTCCCGCCCCTTTCCGTAACCGCCAGTTTCAACCATAGACTGTTTTTTTTTTTTTTTGTTTTTTTTACGATTCGAAACGTTTTTTTATTTTATTGTTTTATTATAAATTACAAAAATTAGTCAGATACTTTCAAACACTTTCAAATATAAAGGTTAACAAATTTCTCATATCATAAAATATAAGCATCAAAAAAGCAACAACAAATAGACATAAACACACAACCATAGACTGTATAAGAATATGTGTGTAGTGTGTGTGACGTCGTCACCCGTAGTGTTTCTGAAGCCCAAAGTGGGCGGCCTCTAGTGGCCAGAGGAGGAACTGCAGTTTAACTCACTTGTTGCCGACTAACTAACAAACTCACCCAGGCCCCGCCCCTTTATTCTGCGCATGAATTATTATAATGAGGAATATTGTGACGTGTTCCCGGAAGAAACTCAAGACCACAATGGAGGCGTTTCAGGAGTTCAGAAACACTCATATAGAGGAGAACTGGAGCGCGGGGCACAACCTAACGCGGGGTTAAATGTAACACGGACGTTTTACGTAGTTCGTCAGGATCAAGCAGGCTGTCTTTCTGCTCTTTTTCTCTCGCTGCCAGAAGACGGTCTCCCGCGGATTTGCGGAAAGTTTTGATTATATTTCCTGAAGATACTGGACAAAAGTGTTTTGACACCATTAAAGTAATTTTTTTCATCATAGTTTTTTTTCTGTTCCTGAGTTGGGTGTATACATTTCCAAATCTAACTTTATATTGCCTTAATCTCTGTCTTGTTGGCTCAAACATAGCACCGTTTTGAAACATGTCAGCAATTGCTAGCGACTGTTAGCTAGGCTTAAAATATGTAATACACAGCGGGGTTAGTGGTAACACAGTGTTACAAACAAGCCGCCAAGTGTACAATGATAATCAAATGAAAACGGAGACACACAACTTTTCAGGTTTGAGTATACATTTAACTTTGTTAGACTTTCACAAACAATGTTGGAATTTAAAATGTTTAAAATTTAGTGTAATATGAATGATAACTCGTTTATTTATTAAAAATATGGCCTGTTTTTTAAATGCAATAAACCCTTTAAATTTTTTAACATGCAGCTGCCACACACAAATCTAATTTAACCCTTATGCTGCATTAGGGACATTTTTGGTCTTTTGCAGTTTAATTTCTTTGACCATTTTGGCTGTTTTAATGCAAATGGTATGAAATTTGGCAAAATTGTGACTTTTTGGATACATGTAAAAAATGTGATCCCATTTTGCAAAATATGTATAACACACACCGTGTAGATCAAATAGTAACACTCAGCACCATAAAGACCAAAAATGGCCCATTGAAACCCATTAAAACGTTGTTTAAATCTGAGGCTGTCAGTAATACATGAAACATGATTTTTGCACAAACATCCTTTCATTTTGAAGCAAAAGCATTATATTTGCATTATATAGTGTATTCCACCAGATGACGTCACTACATATTTATTCCCTATGGGTGGAAATGCACCTTATTTTAGGCAATAGGCAATGTTTAATAGGTGGCCATTTTTGGTCTCTAACGCGCTAAGTGGGATTTTTTGCAAAGTGGGACTGTGATAATCCAATTTTAAAGTTTTCTCTTTGCATTTAGTTTATTGAAAATAATTGAATTTTTGTGTTTTCTCCTCTTATACAAATTGATGGTTTCGCAAACAAAACTGGTAATTAAAGGGTTAAAATCCTGAAATTGAATACATTTTTGGTAGTTATGATGAGGACTGATGCTGGTTAAAAGATTTAACTTGGTAAAAGTGGAAAATAATAATAATATATAATATTTTAGGCAATGTTTAATATGTGGCCATTTTTGGTCCTTAATGCACTCAACGGTGTTAAAAATCTAATGCAGCACAAGGGTTAAGCTCATTTGTATTATTATGACTGTTATTATTATTAACATGCAGCTGCCACACACAAATCTAATTTAATTGCAATTGCAATACTTTGTTATTTTATTTATTATTATTTATCGCAAAACTGTGCAGCCCTTTTCTATGTCTCTATCCATGATATTGATCCACAATAGACGGATGATTGGATGAGGGATGGATATCTGTCTATACAGATGCACAAACAATATCAAACTATACAATTAAAATAGTCCTGAATTATGTGTGTTACAACTAACCCCTCTGTCTGTTACAATTAACCCCGCATATGGGCTAAGTTGTAACATTTGCACTTCTGTCACTTTCAGTGCAACTGTACGAAAATGGTAGGTCCTAGAAAAAAAACTTTAATGTTTATTTGTAGCAGAGATGTGTATGTTGCTTGTGTAAAAAAAGTATTAATCTAACCTAATTATTTTTTAATTAATTTAGCCAAAACCAAAATGCGTTAGGTTGTGCCCCGCTCTCCCCTATACACACTGAAGAAGAGAGGAATGTGTGATTTCTGACCTGTGTGTGTGTGTGTGTGTGTGTGTGAGAACAGTGTGATGTCTGACCTGTGCTCCAGTCCCAGCCCTTGTGCCAGTTCTCTTTACACGTGTAATCGTTCTTACAGTCGTCGAACCATTCGTTACAATCCTCCACACACAGCGGCACGTCCAGGATACGCTCCTTACGCCACGACTCACTCGCCTGCACACACACACCTAATGAATGAATCTGTCTCTACACACACTGCTTGTGTGCGTGAGAGTGAGTGAGTGTGTGTGTGTGTGTGTGTGTACCGTCTGAATCCAGGGCCCCAGGTGTGGTGAACACTCGTAGAAACACGTGTCCTGGATGAAGTGCTTCTTGCACGAGTTGCTCATGATCCCGCAGTGATTCCAGTTGAAGTTGTAAAGATACGACTGATCCTGATGAGCTTCTTCTGTGGTGTTCGCTGTGCAGCAGGCGTTGTCTTTCCATGGGGAACACTGACACACACACACACACACACACAGATTACACTAAACACTCCAATATTCAATTCACATTTATTTGTATAGCACTTTTCTCAGTACACATTGTTAAATCTTTTGAGCTGTTTCGTTCCCTAATCGAATCGACATCAGATATGGGGAACGCCAGCAGTGTGAATGATTGGCCGGTCCAGCTCGGACAGAGCCGACGCACATAGACATATACACTAGACGTCACCTTGGCTACGGCAGTTCATTGGAACGAATGCGTCAATAGAGCCGCCATCTTGAAACAGGGGAGCCCCTCCACTTTAATGCATCAGACACAGGTCTAACGCAAATAAAATCACCATAAATCATCATGAATGTGGTTTTTCTTGTTTTTTTGGTTTGTTCAAACGGTCAGACATGTATTTATCATTGATTCCAGAAAGAAAAAAAAAAAAGAAAAAAAAAACAAACACTCTTCCTAGTTCAGATTTCATCCGTGAACATCGTACGCTGCACAAAAGTCCGCCACCATCAATGAACTCGAAGTAAAGGCAGAGATAGCAGCGTTACCTAGCTACTTCCTATGACAAGACCCCTGTTCCAAGATGGCGGCGGTTTTGACGCATGCTTAGAACCCCCAGGTGAGGTCTAGTGTATATGTCTATGGCCGACGCAGAGGACTGGGCGCTAAGCTATAGACTATCAGCGCGCTCACTCCCCCCTGGTCAGGCACTGGACCTGCTATAACAGTATGAAAAGACACGACACAAGACAGTAAATCATTCACACAGAGTCCTGGCTGGCATGTTCATTTATAGATCAGTTCGTCTATAAATAAATGCAGAAAAGTCTGTTTTAAGGTCTGTTTCTGTCTTTCTTGATCACATGACCACATCTTTCATAGCAATTAGCCATCTTATGGGATAGACTTTGACTACGGCTCAGATATAGTAGATAGTCAGACTTCAGATAGACGTCTAAATCAGACCGTTGCACAAAGCACTGAAGACTCTGACTATCTTAAGTAGGACTACACTGCAACGCATCCAGTGTGTGTGTGAGTGAGTGTGTTATACTCAAAATAAACCATTCAGTGATCAGTGTTTTTTAAAAATGACTATTTTTTTTCTCAGTGTGAAGAACATTTCAGTGATCTGACTGGATGTTAGCGGTTGTGAATGGCAGCTGGTAAAGAAGGTTTATTAGTAAGAGTCTGGAGTGTTGAGTCTCGTGCCTGTTGATACAGCGCTCCCTCGGCTCTCGGCTCAGAGATCTGGTGTTTCCCATCCATACACATGTTGAGCTTATCCACAGAAGACACACTCGACACCAGCGCTATCAGCAATAGACTGAGAGAGAGAGGGAAGGAGAGAAAGAAAGAAAGAGAGAGAGAAGGGGGGAGAGAGAGAGAGGAAGGGGAGAGGGAGGAAGAGAGAGAGAAGGGGGGAGAGAGAGATAGAGAGAGAGAAGGGAGGAGAGAGGAGACAGACAAATCAGTGAAGATTATTTCAAGGTGACAGAGCAGATATTCTGTTCTCATGTCCTTCTGAATGTTACAGTTACAATACAAAGTTACAATATTTAGGCAAGAGAATGATCTAGAGATAATAAAAATATAGAGCTAGTGTGTGTGTATGTATGTATATAAGTAAATAAATAAATTGAATTAAAATATATATTTTTTTTAATTTTTAGTTAGAAATATCTCACGCAACTAGAAATATTAGTTAGGTAATGATCTATTAATATATTAAATTAGATTAAAATACATTTATTAATACAAAATATGACATTTTAAATTTTAATACATTAAATTAAATTTTAATACATTTTAAAACGAATATTTAAATATTTCATTAATATAATAAACAATTATTACATTACACGAACAAACAACATAGTGAGTGGAAAAAGTTCAATACAAAACTAATTTTAGATTTACTTTATTATTTGTTTCAGTGTAGGCTTTAAACTGCATGATTGTAAAAGATTCCTAACCAGCAGCTAAAGCTGTTAGTTATATAAATACACTGGAGTCCAAATGTTTATTTCTTAAAAAAAAAAAAAATAAATAAAAATAATAATAATAAATAATAATATATATATATATATATATATATATATATATATACATATATATATACACACACACACACATTATTTCTATGTAACTACCCCTAACCCTAATCAAATGACATTAATACAAAACAAAAAAGAGACGCATCAGATACCGAGACCTTCTCAAGTTCATCTTCATTTAAACTTTTCATGCATTTGCTTTTAAATTAGCGAGCAAGCATAAAAGAAGCATCGTAGCTCTTGGAGAATGATTGATATAACTGATTAAAGATGGAAAAAGGTAGATTTTACTTTCATAGAAACATACCTTGAAGATAAAAAGCCCATTTTGTGTAGAGTTAAAGTTGAGAACTGCTAGTATTGTCCTCGCTTCAGCTGAAGTGTGTGAGCTGTGTCTCTCTCGATCAAAGTCCTTTAATGACTCCTTGAGGAGCACGACTAACAGTTATAGTAATGAGACACAAACCACCAGCAGTATCAGCTGCACGGTCACTGCGACCTTATGGACTCATAACTCATAATAATTCGTGCACATCTGTCCTTTTCAGCACATGATGCACTAGATACTAGAGATGCAGTTAAGTTTGTACTTAAGGTTTATTGAGTGTTCAGTCAATCTTCAATCACATTTGGTTTGATCTGCTCGAGGGACTCGCGTGATATGGATATCACATGACGTGAATACGATTTTAAGTAACTCGTGCATGTTTTTACACGCTCAAATTCAGATTTCTGAAAGTGAGGCGGAACTTAAAATTGTGTGAGGGTGTTTCCGAGGGGAGGAACTTCAAGTGCAACACCAGAACCCGTCGTGTGTTTACATTTGAACTTTCTGCGGACCTGCAGGTAAATAAAATATATAAAAGGCTCTCGTTTATAGATTTTATTATTTGATTCATCAGCAGCCATGCTATTTGCACAAGTGACCGGAATACTGTGTCATTATTTTCAGTGTTTTTATGAAGAATAAGTAACCTTTACAGAAACAGAAAGTACTATTATAGTACTTGTTATATACTTGTTAAGTACTATTCAATGTTAGTATTACGGTATTTCGCATTATAGTAACTATAATGCGAAATACCGTAATACTAACATTGATTCATATTAACTGATATTTCCACTATACTACGTAATAGTACTTGTGAAGTAATGCCATGCATGTACACAGGTCTTTAATTTGACGTTTTTATGATATACTATGAGTGACATTCTTATAAGTTACATTTCTTGGCACCATAAATACCATGTTTCGCTTGTGCTAATGGTAAAGTTAATCCCACATGTGAAAAACGAGGTATAGGTTTGTTTTAGTACTTTATAAAAATATCATAAAAACAAGGTATTACTGATTTACATGTGATAAAACATTGTTCTATCATTTACAGCGTCATCAAATAACTTTCTAAGAATACTATGGTATTTTATAATAATCATAGTACGTGTGAAAAAACGTGATATTAAAACATGTTTGTGTGTGTGATTCCACATCATAGCTACTTGTATAAGAATACCATGATGTATGATAAAAAAAACTCAGGTATTGCATTACCATAGTATGATTTTATACATTTCTTTGCGTATGATGTAAATGCATGGCATCACTAAAAAATAACATGTTTTTTCCACAAGTACTATGGTAATACCACATATGAAAAACATGGTGTTTTTAGTGATGTCTTGCATTTCCGTACTATTCTGACATATATTTTGGTATGATCCTGTGTGTGTGTCCAGAGATGTCCACCCTCTTCCCGTCTCTGTTCCCGCGTGTGACAGAGTCTCTGTGGTTTAATCTGGACCGTCCGTGTGTGGATGAAGCCGAACTACACCAACAGGAGCAACAGCACCAGACCTGGGTCAGTGTGTGTGTGTGTGTGTGAACTGCAGAACGAGTGTGTGTGTGTGTGTGTGCTGATTAAGCTGTCTGTCTTCAGTTGCAGAACATCTCAGAGAAAGACAACAACCTGATGCCCATCGGGAGGCCCATCTTTGAGGTGCGCGTGAGAACGAACGCATGATGTTCAGATCCGATCCCTGAGAATATAATATAACATCTAACATGTTCTTCACATTCTTACCAGACCTTCGATGAGGAAGAGGAGGAGGATGATGAAGACGAGGAGGACAGCGAGGAAGACTCAGAGGATGATGAAGACATGCAGGACATGGACGACATGAACATCTACAATGAGTTCCCTGATGACGGAGAAATTAATGAGGTCAAGATATACACACACACACACACACACACACAATCAAATGTGTTTCTTCTAAGAACAAAAGAACTACACTGTAAAAAAAAACACATGATTTATGACTTTATTTCTTTGTTAAATCAACTTCAGATAACATCATATTACAATTTTAAGTTGATTAAACCAATCTCCTTCATTGTATTAACTCAAAATATTTATTTCAGTGAGCTCAAAACTTAAGGCAACCAGGTAATTTACTTTTTAAGTTAAACCAACAATCATTTTTACAGTATAGTGAATATAATGTGTATATGATGATTCATTCTGGTTTGTGTGATAAAGGTTACAGGAATAACGTCAAATAATGATAGATTTGAAAATAATAACCTAATATATAGTGCCATTGTTATATTTATAATAAATGAAGAGTTCAGATGCAAAAGCCTCTAAGTGCCATTTGAAATTTTCTTCTAGAATGATGATTTTTATCAAGCTTGTATATTTAAGTTCAGTGATTTCACTTAAATGGCAATGATAATTACCTATTAATTGTTATTTAAGTGAAATTACTGAACTTAAATATACAAGCTTGATAAAAATCATCATTAAAGAAGAAAATTTCAAATGGCATTTAGAGGCTTTTGCATCTGAACTCTTCAAATATCACTGTTTTTCATATTAAATGAATACGTAAAGGGATGTTTTTAGGGTAGAAAGTCATACACACCTAGGATGGCTTGAGGGTCATGGGCTAATTTTCATTTTTAAGTCAACTACTCCTTTAAATCTGCTGTTGACCTGATAAAGTTCAGTTTTGAAGAGATCTGAGTTTTGATTTTAGGTGAATGACGTGAGTGTCGCTCACTGATAGGTCGACATGGAAGGAGCCGATCAAGACCAGGACCAGTGGATGATCTAGGCCGGATCCATCAGTCAGACGATAAACTGGAGCTGGTGACGTCTGGAGTGTCGTGAAGTGTGTGTGTGTGCTGCTGAAATACTCACAGGACTGTTATTTATACGCGTCACACACACACCGTCAGCCCAAGTGTTCAGTGTTACTAAAGATCCTCTTCACTGCTAAAATGCATTGTCTTGTTTTCAGTCCAAAATATCTAAAAGTTCTTAAATCGAGATGTATTTACTAGATGAGTACAATGCCATAAGCTATTATGTCCTGTTTTCCGGGGAATTAATCAAAATTAAGTGATTTTTGCTTTATAAAAAACAAATGATCTGGAAATGCGGAAAGAAAGATCAAATTCAAACAGAAACTAGATTATTGGCAGATCATTTAGCATCAACTCACTTCATTTTTATTAATTTCCCCTGAAAACAAGACTTAAAGTCATTTTACTACTTCACTAAGTTAAGAATTTCTAGATATTTGGACAAAAATACTAAGTCAGAAAAGCATTTTTTTTGCAGCGTTCTCCTAAAACTAGCACTTGTCACAACATGAACTTTTGTCACTTTAAAGGCTTGTACAAAGTGTTCAGTCGGTCAAATATAAAGTTATTGAGTTACTGGGCATTTCTGCGTGTCATCCAGGCGAGTTCATGAGTCAGCACAGAAACACTGACGGATTTATCCTGCTGTTTGGATCATATTTCTTTGTGGTTGTAAATAAATTTGTAGTCAATTATTCATCTTGTGCATATGGTCGATTTCTTAACCATCCCATTTTAATACAAGCATTAGGATTACTTTACAATAGCGTTCATTAGTGAACATGAACAATACTTTTACAGCATTTATTAATATTAATTTCAACATTTCCTACATTATTAAAATCAAAGGTTGTATTTGTTAACATTAGGTACTGCACTGTGAACTAACATGAACCAATAATGAACAGCTGGATTATTAACTAACATTAACCAAGATGAATAAATGCTGTAACACATGTATTGCTCATTGTTATTCATGTTAATATGAACCGTATTGTAATGCGTCACAGAATCATCTGTTTAGTTTGGCATCTTTAAATCATTCAAGACGTGACGGGTCAAATTCTGTCATCATTTATTCACCAAACCTGTGTGATCTCTGCTCTCACATCTTATTTCCATTTGTGTGATGTACATATGATGCACAAATACATGTCACACACACAAAGGTTTGGGATACCAGTGCCTTTTACTTTCATGATATGGAAATATTAGCCGTAGAGGTTTAAACGGACACGAGAATCTCTCAGTATATGTTTTATTATGTGCTGATGATCACACCAACTTTATGGCGTAATTCGCTTATTAAATCACAAAGGTTTAAATAAATATATGTGCTGCATAATTGACTGTCCTTTTATAAAGAGAGTTTTCCACCAAGATAAAGTTTGAAAATAGAATTAAGTATGAATTTTAGTATTGGAATTTTACATTATATTATTTTAGATTATTTTTCTCAAATACTTTTATTTTACAGTGAAATATTGCAACCATAATATTCCTTTGTTTAATATTTAATAATTATTTATAATATTTTTATTTAAAATTATTATTACTATATAATGTTGTAAAATATATTATTATTTTATAGACATTGATATATAATCCAAAAGGTGGTCAAAATGGTCATATGATACATCAATTATTAAATAGAGAGTAATAAAAGTTATTAAAGCTGCTATTAAACATAGTGACAGTACAGATCATTTCTTCCATATTGTGACATATTTCAGAGTGTGAAAAAGATGAAATGTAGGGCGGGGCTTGATACTCCGCATCAGCTATTGATTGGATGTTGATATGTGGGCGTGGCCAAATGCTTGCAGGGGCGGGGCTTAAGAGCACTAAATGATTGGTTAATCCTGCATACGTCACCAGAGCTTCACTGGAAGATCCAGTTATGACACTTTGAATACACATTGCAAGGTACTAGAAACATAAGATCAATAATACGCATTTAGAAAATAAGAGCGAATTTCATTCTTTGCTATATATGCATGAATGAAGAGTAGCTAAGGATTCACCGCGCCTTAAAATTAGTTTATTTGAGGTGCGTAAAAAATAAAGGCACTTCAAGAGAGTCCACAATCCACCAAACACAAGAGACGTCAAAAAGCGAGATCAAATCAAATGATTTTACTGAAAAAAGTGGCAAACGTTACGAACACATGTGACCATCTTAATTTATGAAGTTACATAGATCACATGATGATCAACCAAGACCAATAGGATCCAGACACAGTGTTGGACAGTATACTGTAAGGCAAAGAGAGAAAATTAAATAACAAAATAAATGTAAAAAAGGGGAAACAATTATATAATAATAATTAAATGAATAAATAATTTTAAAGTTCACAAGTGACTGTTAAGGTCTATAATCTCCTCACACACGTTCCTTACGCTGAGAAACACGGTAATGTTTCACTTAGTCCCGAGGAAGGTCAGTTCAGCCACGCGTCACGCATGTATTTATCAACAAAATAAAGAAATGAAGAAAAAATAGAATAGAGATTATAATAATTAAATGTGAAAATAAGAATTAAAAAAAATTATATATATTTTTTTTTAAATGGGGGGGGGGGTTAAAAATAAAATAAATAATAATATTAATAAAACTAATTAAATATAAAAAGTAAAAATAAATAAATAAATGTAAGAATTAACCATTATCTCCTCACACACGTTCTGCACTGTGCGAAACACAATGTTGTCATGTTATGTCGAAAGTTTTACTTGATCCCGAGGAAGGTGAGCTCCGCCATGCCGTCCCGGATGCCCCGGATGTACTCGAGCGTGGCGCGGTGAACTCTGACCTCATACAGGCCGCAGCGCCGCGCGTGCCGGAGGAAGTTTGGCGCTCCGGGGAAGATGACGTTATCGGCTAGGATGATGGAGCCCTCTCCCAGAAGGCCACTGTCCTCCAGCAGGTGCAGGTCCGGCAGATAACAGCGCTTCCAGTGATCCATGAACACAAAGTCCAGGCACTCCACGCCGAAATCCTCACGCAAGCGCGGGATCACCTCATCCGACGGCCGCACAATCAGCTCCACCTGAGGAAACATGTCACTTTTTCAGCTAAAGCTGGTTGCACAAGTTTTCAAAACATGCTGACTTTATGTATATATACACATACACACACTGAACAAAATTATAAACGCAACACTTTTGTTTTTGCCCCCATTTTTCATGAGCTGAACTCAAAGGTCTAAGACTTTTTCTATGCATGTACACAAAAAGCCCATTTCTCCCAAAAATAGTTCACAAATCGGTCTAAATCAGTGTTAGTGAGCACTTCTCCTTTGCTGAGATAATCCATCCCCCTGGCGTATCAAGATGCGGATTACATACTGCACAGGTGTGCCTTAGGCGGTCCACGATAAAAGGCCACTCTAAAATGTGCAGTTTTAGATGGCACCGAAAACCAGTCAGTATTTGCGTTGAGTCCGAGGAGGCGGGAAAACAACAATCTCTGATATTTTGAATTTGGACTGCACTACCCATTTCAATCACTAGATGTCATTCTTACAGACTGCACCTTTAAAGTCCCCGTGAACCGGAAGTTGCAAACGATTTTTCTCCAGTGCTGTGACGTATTTCCAAGTGAAACGGAATATTGAACAGAGGGCAGGGTTTTACTCTAGCGCTCCTCCTCTCCATCTCTCGCTCATAGCAAACTAACGGTTTGAGGGGAGTGGTTAAGCGTTTCCCCACCCAAACTGTGAAACCTACGTCATCAGAAAAAGAAACCGTTCCAGACCGGAAGTAACTTTTCAGATTTTGATTAAAGATTACTAAGGTAAAACATTTTTTTAATATATATATTCACTTGCACGGATTAATTGTTCACCACAAGACTAGTAATATGCGCTAGCAAAGTAAATAGGTTCAATTTTGATTTCATGGGGACTTTAAGAAAGAGAAACGAATGCCGAAAACTCACCATGTCTTCATCAAAACCCGCCAGTCGAATGATTTTCTCGGCCACGGCAGCGTTCCGCTGGTCCATCTCGACGGAGTAGATGCGAGCGCCGATGGGCAGCGAGCGGGCGATGCGAACGGTGCTGTAACCGCAGTGAGTGCCCAGTTCCAGAACAGTGATCGGGCAGTGTTCCTGCAGCAGCCGGTCCAGGATCTTACCTGCACAAACAGCCAATCAGAACACAGCAAGTGAGCGTGACAGCCAATCAGAACACAGTAAGTGAGCGTGACAGCCAATCAGAACACAGCAAGTGAGCGTGACAGTTAATCAGAACACAGCAAGTGAGCGTGACAGCCAATCAGAACACAGCAAGTGAGCGTGACAGCCAATCAGAACACAGCAAGTGAGCGTGACAGCCAATCAGAACACAGAAAGTGAGCGTGACAGCCAATCATCAGAACACAGAAAGAGCGTGACAGCCAATCAGAACGCAGAAAGTGAGCGTGACAGCCAATCAGAACACAGAAAGAGCGTGACAGCCAATCAGAACACAGCAAGTGAGCGTGACAGCCAATCAGAACACAGCAACTGAGCGTGACAGCCAATCGGAACACAGCAATGAGCATGACAGCCAATCGGAACACAGCAAGTGAGCGTGACAGACAATCGGAACACAGCAAGTGAGCGTGACAGACAATCAGAACACAGCAAGTGAGCGTGACAGCCAATCAGAACACAGCAAGTGAGCGTGACAGCCAATCGGAACACAGCAAGTGAGTGTGACAGCCAATCAGAACACAGCAAGTGGGAATGACAGCCAATCAGAACACATCTGAAGTTTACCATCAAAAATACAGACACAAACACAAAGATCTCATCGCATTGTTCATTAGGACATTATGTAATACTAATAATCACGATGACATCACTCGTTTTTTTAATTTTTTTGTAACTTTTCACCAGTACATGTAACATATGTAACAAGGGCACTAAAATAAAGTAAAATAAAGTGTTACCTAAAAATGTTACCGGCGAAGCAGCGATTGACATTGTTTCATATACTCGCCAACGTCGAGTGTTAATTTTAGGCCGTGTGTGTGTGTGTGTGTGTGTGTGTACCTTTCTTGGGCCCGATGTTGCTGATGAACTCCACTTTGCTGCACCACTGGTCAAAGGTGTCCAGGATGCTCTGGGAGTCTCCCGGCGTAGCGTGGGTCAGTATGTACTGAAAGGCCCGTTCCTCTCGGCTGAGGCCCGATAAACAGTCGCGCACCCAGCGGATCAGTACGGCCCGGTACAGCAGCACAAAGAAATAACGGTAACGGATGATCAGCGTGAGTAACAGAGGAAGTAAAGCCAAAGCAATCGCAGGAGAAACCATCTTCACCTCTGACCTGCAAACACAAAGACAGGCTTTAACGTCACTGAAACATAGTGGAAGATCATAGACACCTCTCAGAACACCCTAGCAACCGCACAGCAACACCCACACACAGAACACCCTAGCAACCACACAGCAACACCCACACACAAAACACCCTAGCAACTGCATAGTAACACAGAAACACTCAGAACACCCTAGCAACCGCAAAAGCAACACACAGACACCCTAACAACCACATAGTAACACAGAAACACACACCTCATCCTAGCAATCGCAAAGCAACACACAAACACTCAGAACACCCTAACAACCGCATAGTAACACAGAAACACACAGCTCATCCTAGCAATCACAAAGCAACACTCAGAACACCCTAGCAACCACACAGCAACACCCACACACAAAACACCCTAGCAACTGCATAGTAAAACAGAAACACACAGAACACCCAAACAACTGCATAGTAACACAGAAACACACAGCTCATCCTAGCAATCACAAAGCAACACTCAGAACACCCTAGCAACCACACACAGCAACACCCACACACAAAACACCCTAGCAACTGCATAGTAACACAGAAACACACAGTACACCCAAACAACTGCATAGTAACAAAGAAACACACACCTCATCCTAGCAATTGCAAAGCACACAAACACTCAGAACACCCGAACAACCGCATATTAACACAGAAACACACAGAACATCCTAGCAATGGCTTAGCAACACACTAAAACACTCAGAACTCCCTAGCAATTGCATAGCAACACACTAACGCTCATAAAAGCCTAGCAACACACAAACACTCAGAACACCCTAGCAACTGCATAGCAACACACACACACACTTAGAACACCCAAGCAACTGTATAGCAACACACAAACAGCCAGAACGCCCTAGCAACAGCACAGCAAAAACACACAAACACTCATAACACCCTAGCAACTACATAGCAACACACAAACACTCAGAACACCCTAACAACTGCATAGCAAGTAACACAAACACCCTAGCAACCACATAGCAACACACTAAAAACATGCAGGACACCATAACAACCGCATAGGAACATGCAACAGACTAAAAACACCAGAAGACCCTAGCAACCACACAGAAACATGCTAAAACATTCAGACTGCAAAGCAACACACTAAACACACCTAAGAGACCACATAGCAACACACTGAAAACACCCAGAACAATCTGGAAAACATAACACACTAAGAATGTTCAGAACAGCTTAGCAACGCACCAGAAACACTCAGCAACTGCACAGAAACACACTATAACACTCAGACCACCACAACAACTGCATAGCAACGACTAAAACATGCAGCTTAGCAACACACTAAAAAAAACACTCATACCACCACAACAACTGCATAGCAACGACTAAAACATGCAGCTTAGCAACACACTAAAAAAAACACTCATACCACCACAACAACTGCATAGCAACGACTAAAACATGCAGCTTAGCAACACACAAAAAAAAACACTCATACCACCACAAAAACTGCATAGCAACACACTAAACCATGCAGGACAGCTTAGCAATAACACTAAACACTCAGACCACCGTAGCAACCACATAGCTACCCACTAAAACAACGCAGAACAGGTTAGCATCCATATAACATCACATCAGAAACCACATAGCAACAAACTAAGAACATCTTAGCAACCACAGGTTTGAGCACTTCACTTTCAGCACTACTAGACTCCAACTACTCTAGACAGCAAACACTTCACAGCCAGCCTATGAAAACTAGACATTAATAATTCAAACGCCTTTGTTTCGACGTGACAGAACATGCTGACTTTCCAGAAGACACAAGCTGATCCCAGATCAGTTTCATTCAGACAAACACAGACACTCATTCACCAACACACAACATAAAACATCAAATCTGACGATAACTTTACCAGATCCAGGACTCTCTCGACCCGCAAAACACACACTCTGAAGACAGAAAGAAGAGACACTCGTGTGAGTACCACCGGTGTGCAGCAGCCAATCAGAGTCCTCCGTCTGAATAATGGATGGAGCGCCTCCACTTACACCTGCGTCTCACCTGAGCGTCACGTGACCTGAGCGCATGATGACATCACAGCCGAAATGACACATTTCTGAAGGAATAGTGGAGCAGGAAGAAAACCACCAATACGTACAACAAAATGTTCAATATTCTTTAATTCAACATAAAAAATGTCAGTACAACATCAGAATGAAAGCATAAAAAAAAAAAAATCAAAAAATGGCAGAAGGAATGGCGTTAGAATAATACACAAGGTTTATATGGCTTATAAAAAATAATATAAGAAAAAGACTTGGTTGGATTCAAGTATTGATATTATTATTTATACAATTTTATTGATTGTATTTGTTATGTTGTCATTATTTGCTTATTATTTTTACTTTTTGAAATTTTCCACTTAAAATTTTGACAACTGTAAATATACATACACATATGCGATTAATCGATTTGACAGCACGAATAAAAAGAAATATAGTAAAAAAATATAAAAACAAGTCAAAATTATCAATTGAATTTACAATGATGTACATTTCCCCTTATAAAAGCCGCTCCTTTTGAAAATGTAGTTTCATGCCGTTCATCACTCCAGAACTCTGTTTTATCCGCTTATTAATGTCTGTCCAGGGGTCGTGACCTCAGCAGGCTCGTCTCAGCATCATCCGGGTGAACTTCTTCAGCTCTTTCTCTTCACGGGACCATTTGAGGAGTCGTGTGAGGAGCATGCGTCCGCTGGTCATGTGGGCCAGGGCGATGTATGAGCCGGCGAGCGGCCCATCCAGCGCGGGACAGGAGCAGTCGCGACCCCCCGGCAGCCAGAGGGCGCTCTGGTCCCCTGCCACCACCTGATGATCCTGCCAGCGCAGGACACGACTGCGACCCTGAGGAACCACACGCACATCTGCCCCGTCCCGAGACCAGGAGCCGATCCGCAGCCGGAACGCTGGAGAGAAGAGCCGACAGGAATTACACTTTAGGTGTGGAATAAAGTCCTAGTTTAAAGGGATAGTTCACCCAAAAATGAAAATTAGCCCATGATTTACTCTCCCTCAAGCCTAAGTGTACATGACTTTCTTCTTTCAGAAGAACACAATCAGAGTTATATTAGAAAACACCCTGACGTCTCCGAGCTTTATAATGGCAGTGAATGGCTGAATACTTTTTGACGTCCATTTAAGTTCATCTGTCCATAAAAAGTGCATCTATCCATCATAAAAGTGCATCTATCCATCATAAAAGTGCATCTGTCCATCATAAAAGATCTATCCATCAAAAGTCCATCCGTCCATCATAAAAGTGCATCTGTCCATCATAAAAGATCTATCCATCATAAAAGTCCATCCGTCCATCATAAAAGTGCATCTGTCCATCATAAAAGTGCATCTATCCATCATAAAAGTGCATCTATCCATCATAAAAGTGCATCCGTACATCATAAAAGTGCATCTATCCATCATAAAAGTGCATCTGTCCATCATAAAAGTGCATCTGTCCATCATAAAAGTGCATCTATCCATCATAAAAGTGCATCTGTCCATCATAAAAGAACATCTGTCCATCATAAAAGAACATCTGTCCATCATAAAAGAACATCTGTCCATCATAAAAGTGCATCTGTTTATCATAAAAGTGCATCTATCCATCATAAAAGTGCATCTGTCCATCATAAAAGTGCATCTATCCATCATAAAAGTGCATCTATCCATCATAAAAGTGCATCTATCCATCATAAAAGTGCATCTGTCCATCATAAAAGTGCATCTGTCCATCATAAAAGTGCATCTGTCCATCATAAAAGTGCATCTGTCCATCATAAAAGAACATCTGTCCATCATAAAAGTGCATCTATCCATCATAAAAGAACATCTGTCCATCATAAAAGTGCATCTGTCCATCATAAAAGTGCATCTGTCCATCATAAAAGTGCATCTGTCCATCATAAAAGTGCATCTGTCCATCATAAAAGTGCATCTGTCCATCATAAAAGTGCATCTGTCCATCATAAAAGAACATCTATCCATCATAAAAGTGCATCTATCCATCATAAAAGAACATCTGTCCATCATAAAAGTGCATCTGTCCATCATAAAATCTATCCATCATAAAAGTGCATCTATCCATCATAAAAGACAAAGTGCATCCCAAACACCACAGAAACACATATCCATGTTTTCATCTTCATGTTGAACGCTTTGAGTCGTTCCATCATGACGGGTTCTCCCGGATGGGTTATATCTGGTCTACGGTTACTCACCGAACGGACTCTGGCAGAAGTTCTGCTGGATCTCTCGCTCTCCTTCTGAGTCTGGACTGCAAACCTCACAGACCATAGAACCTGACGAGAGACAAGACACACTCAATTCACATTTATTTGTACAGTGCTTTTCACAATACACATCATTTCAAAGCAGCTTTACAGAAATAAGAGTCCATTACAGTTTACAGTGTTCTGTTATCAGAGGAAACTTCTTGCAAGGTTCTAACTCCTAAACAAACGTTCTTCCAGACTCAGCAGAACGTTCATTCAAAGTTATCTGGTCTTTAATGAGCAAAAAATACCAAAACCAAAACAAAACAAAACAAAAAAAAAACACTTTGCAGCCTACTTTTTCTTTGTATTTTTTTTTTTTTTGTATTTTCAAATGGCAAATTACTTATATTTTAATTAAATATTATTTTTTTCACAACAGTATTTTGTATTTCATTTAAATACATTTGATGAGAAAGTAGGCCTATATTTGTAATTAAATACTTTTTGATGTATTTTGTGCCTATTTCTGCTCAAAAGTAACGTTCCCATAATGTTTGAAGAATGAAATGGAATCAATTGAATTTACAATAACGACGAATTTACAATAACGTTTCAATAACGACGTGTTTAATTCAATAGAATATAACATGTTCATGACTTAATTTTGTTAGCTGGGTGATTCAGCTGGAGTTTTATGCTTTGTAAGTGTAATGTAAACCGTTCAAACCTTTATGCGCGTCGGTTGTTTCCTCCCGGTTCGCGTCTCGTTCTCCGGGAACGCAGAGCTCCGGTCCATCCGGAAACCGACTGCAGTTGAACATCTCCGGCCACGGGAACCCGAATGCGCTCATGACGGGCAGACACGCGTCCCGCACCGCCTCGCAGAGACTCCGGCACGGGCGCACCGGGACCGGGACCTCCGGCAAACACACGGGCGCGAAGAGCGAGCAGAGGAAGCGTCGCGAGTCCCGGTGACAGCGTTTGCCGAGCAGAGGCAGCCAGGAGGCGGACTGTTGCTGAGCTTCCCTCGCGGTGTCGTGGCCCAGCAGGTTCGGGAGCCGCATCTCTTCGTAGCCGATCCCGGAACACAAGCTCATCGTGTTCGGAACCGGTTTACACACCGAGCGCACTGCGCCGGAGTCAGACACCGGATTCACTGTCAGACCTTCATCATCATCATCTTCATCAGCTGTGGACGGACTGGAAACCAGCAGCACGATCATGAACAGACAATGAACATTTAACATCGTGGAGACGCGCGTCCAAACTCGTGTGTGTGTGTGTGTGTGTGTGTGTGTGTGTGTGTGTGTGTGTGGCGTCTCCACATCCTGTGAATCAAACACATCAGCTTCTTTATTAGCGGCAGTAAAACACTTCAGAGGCTCGTGTGAGGTTTTCTGGGAAGTTACTTTTACTTTGGGCAGTTAAACTTAAAACAACGTTGGAAAGTTGTTGTAATTGTAATCATATCTCACAATTCTGTCTTTTTTTATTGCAAGTTTATATCTCACAATTCTGAGGAAAGAAAATCTGAATATAAACTCGCAATTTATATAACCTACGTTTTTTTTTTTAATAGTGAGATATAAACTCAAAATTGCAAGGGGGAAAAGTCACAAGTACGCCCAACACAGAAAGTGTATGGGTTATTAAAATCTTGGTCCTGACCTTTTAATTTTTATTTTCTCAAATATTAGAATGTGTCAGAATATGTGTGGATCTGATTCAAACACAAATAAACTTTTAATAGAAAGATAGTCGTTCTGTTCCAGAAAGAAATTAAACAATACTGATGACTCATCCTGCACTCAGGGGTGTATGCAAATGTCTGCTTAATCACGTGTTCTCGAGAATGAGATGCCCCGCCCACTGATTCCACCTGCCTCATTAGTGTCTTATCAAACTAATGCAAGCCCGTTAAAATAAAAACCGCAACTGTGTTTTTCCTCTTTGCAACTTTATTTGAGTTTATACTAATAAAAAAAAAAATCCGTGCGAGTTATAAAATTATGATTTTAAATTCGTGGTATATTCGAGGTATAAACTTGCAATTGTGAGGAAAAGGTCAGAATTGTAAGATATAGGCCTAGTTACTGCCTACCCAGAATTTATGGGATGAATATAGTATCAAAATGATTAACACGTGCAAGCACAATTATCAATGAACTTGATAGCTACATATTGCAGAAGTGTTTTATCCATGCATTCAACTTGTTTGCTACACATTCATTCAATTTTGAATTTTGCACAATTTAAATAGAGAAATTTGTGTGAATACAAATGTTTTCTTTTGAATTAGAGTATCATAATTTGTGCATAATACAATTCAACATCCAGAATCACATGAATGTGCAGCATTTTGTACAAATAGAGACATATTTGTTAATACAAAACCTCAATTTTGTATTATTGTAGGCCAGAATTTGTAAGATGTGCATGTGTGGATGAGGTGACACGTGTGCATTTCTAAGTCGATCCTTTTTGATTGATTTGGATTTTGAGAAACTTGATTACGCAGCCGTTGTCTGTTTTGGCGGAATACTGCCATCTAGTGGTGGCAGGTTTAATCAGACAGTTTGTGTGGATCATTCACCCAAAAATATAAATTCTGAGCCTTAAATAATTTACTCAATCATGCCATTCCAAACCTATAAGACGTTTTGTGCTGTGTTCAAAAGTTTCCTCTCCTGATGTTATTAATGCGATAGTAGGCTCGGCTGCTAATTGTTCTCTGCTATGCCGTATGTTTACCGCTAGGGGAAAAAACTGATCAGAGATCGGGTAGACCCCAGCGCCCCCCAGCGGCGAAACATTGAACAAGTGTCTGGGTCTGGTTTACCCGATCTCTGATCAGTTTTCTACATTTTCAGACGTTTTAATTAGACAGAATAATCAAAAGTAATAGTCACCATTAATTGTTAGACACCATCGTGTGGCGTTTCGAACGCTTTGAAACAGTGAACCATTTTCTCCAATCGATAACAAAACGATTTTTTTTTATTTCGTGCTCGCGTTCGTTAATATATTGCCGTGAACAATTACCAATGAAAACTAGCAGTGAATAAAGCTTTAAAAAAAGATGCATCACACGCAAAACGAGCGCCGGCTGATCGTAGGCCTGCCTCAAATAATGCCATGGTCTTTGTTCTTTAATATGGCCAGTGCTACACATAGACATCATATATCTATTATGGTGCTACATGTTGAAAACGGTTTAAAGGTCTTTGCAAATGCAAATGCATTATTCGTATTCGTATAGCTTCCGAGTCGATATATGGCCACTATAGGGGTAGCCTAAATGAATGATTCATATATTGTTTTTGTTCAGACTGAATATTTCTCAGGGTGAGTTATTTTTAAGACTGAGGGAAAACTTTATTACGCCACAAGATGGCGGCAAGTGACTGTCTTTTGCACAAAATGTCTTTTGAGTGTCTTCGACTTTTTGTTTTGTTGCCTTTTTGACATTTAATACCAAACATGCAATTATTTGATCAATTTTTTAAAAAAATACTGTGAAACAGTCACATTGTAAAATGTTGTTAAAACTTAAAATAACTTATTTTTCTCTGTTTTAAATGACTTTGAAACATATTTTATTCCTGTGATGGAAAAACATGGAAAACAATTACACCACTAGATGGCGACAAGTGAGTGTGTTTTGAGTGTTATTTACAGTTTGTTTATGTATTTTGCTTCTGAATATACTTAAATATTTATAAATATAATTATATATTTATATAACATATGAAGAGTTCAGATGCAAAAGCCTCTAAGTGCCATTTGAAATTTTCTTCTAGAATGATCATTTTTATCAAGCTTGTATATTTAAGTTCAGTAATTTCACTTAAATTGCAATGAAGATTACCTATTAATTGTAATTTAAGTGGAATTACTGAACTTAAATATACAAGCTTGATAAAAATGATCATTCTAGAAGAAAATTTCAAATGGCATTTAGAGGCTTTTGCATCTGAACTATTTATATATATAATTATACATTTTGCTTACTCTAGTCTACACACATCACACACTAATGCAAAAGCAAACACTATTTGACAAATCAAATGTAAAACACTACTATCTTGTGTCTTTTGCTTGTTCAGTGTGCAGTGAAGCACACAGGAGTGTGTCACGGCACTCACACGTACATGTATGTGCACAAACACATTGCATACACACAGTTGATTATCTTTACCTTTGTAATACAGAATCTAATCAACACAGAACACACTTGAGCTGTATATAATGACAATATCGGCGTGATAGAGCTGCTTTACAGCAGAATTTGAAACTTGAAACAATTTGAAACAAATTAGATAAAATAATTACGTAACATGTACTTTTTCCAGTTTGATTTAACCATCATCATTGGCATCACTAGCATCATTATTAACAAAACCCATGGCCACATTAATCTTTGCAGATAAAAATCCAATAGAAAATAGAAAGTGTTAACAACAGCTATGAACTGAAGTGATATGGATTTAAGTTAAGCTAACCTAGCTAGTTATTTTGAGTGTTTGTTTTATTCCATTTTAATATCCGAATGTAATCTTCAGATGTGAATGTGATCAACATTAGTTTCGGTAGCTCCTTTAGAGGCATCTTCAAAGTAGAAAAACGTAAATAAAAAAGACCTGAACCGGAAGCGCTGAAACCTGTTTGACCCGAATACGGAAGTGTGTTTGCACAACCCCCGTTGAGCCTGACGTCAGACCAATTCTTTCTTTTTTGTGAGTTTTGTGATTCTTTCACGGCCGCAGTTGTTCTGAAGAGAGTTTCCTGGTCTCTGAGCCTATAGTGGGAGAAACTTGGACATCAAATGAGTTCTGACTGATCAAGTTTCAGCAGTAGACCATGTGCGAAATAAGCCTGTCAGGAGCCCGAGGGCTGTGGTTTCACTCATTCCACTCACTTACAACAAATGTGTCCGTAAATGTGATCGTATCTGAGCCGTAGACTCCTGCTAGCTGTGATATGGGAGCCTCGCTGGGACACAGAGGAGCTCTTTGTCTCGTGTTTAACGCCCTCCCCCCAAAGTCAGGCGCATTCAGCACATTCTGCAGGGGGAGGACGTGTCACAGGAGACAAAGAACGTCGTTACGTCACACCGAAACAACCTATCACAGCTACTAGAGACAGGCTTTCTTTGCATAAGGTCTAGGGAGATCTCAGACTATACTACGGTAGACCTAAACAACACTTCTGATTTGAAAATATCATGGTTTTTATGGGTTTACAGGCTCATTTCACCATGATTTACAGTCCCATTTGACACAAGTGAGTGGAATAAGTGGTTTATCCACCTACCAGCACTGAAACACAAACCTGGGGGTCCCGGCAATAAATAGCGCTCCTCGATTCTCTCGGTTCGTGCTTGCTTCGGCAGCACATATACTAAAATTGGAACGATACAGAGAAGATTAGCATGGCCCCTGCGCAAGGATGACACGCAAATTCGTGAAGCGTTCCTCATTTTTATTAATTATTAGTTATTAATGATTAATTAACAGTAAATATTAATATTGGACACAGTCTCAGCTGAATAATCCAGTGTTTACGCCTGCAGTACGCAGCCTCAACGCTAGAGCGCAGCCTCGCACTGCAGAGCGGCTCGCTGGCGCTGACTGACTTTACAGCTTTTACACGACACAAACATTTAGTTTCCGAGCAAAAACAATGTTTTTAGTATTTGTAATGATTTCGTAACATTCTAATGTTTCCTCAGGCGATTTTAATCAATCGTATCTTACTCTGACAGAATTCGCCACGTTATAATGATCATTCTGAATCTTCGCTCCCTTTTAGTCGTTATTCAAACTAGCATTTATCAAATATGTTTATGTAGACTACACGATAATGTGTAAAGTAGTTGAATTCACTTACCAAGCGTTGTTTTCGCCGTCTTGGTTGACAAATGTGCGTCGACCGTTTGTCTTGGTTAATTCTTTACCTGAAAACACAGAGCGAAAACGAGAATTATAGCCTAAAGTAAAGTGTATTTTGATTTTCAATGTCAAAAAATGTCTTCACATAGGCTAAATTAATGTCATGCTTCGTAGTTGAGAGGAATTGCGGAACAAACGCTTTTCGCTGCATTCAGGACAACTTTCTCCTTTCGAGCATCACCTGACAGATCAAACTGTCACGAAACATACAAGTCGATGTTCAAAACAATATTATGACTGGAAGTGTATCGCTGAACTAAAAGTAGTAATAGATGTAAGCTAAATGTGACTGGATATCCTGCCAATCGTTGTATTTCTCTAAACATCAGTTAAAACATTCATAACTTCTTGTTCGAGGATTGAGTGAAAAGGACAAATACAGTTTGAGATTTCTGAGACAAAATAATCACCACGAATCTCGTGTGTTTGTTATGTGTGGCAAATTTCTGGACCAAAATACTTAATTTGAACTGCCTACAAAAAATTCAATAAGAAAGTCAGCAGGGGAGGAAAGAGAATGAGATGCTGCACAAAAAAGACTTAATAAAACATTCTTGACATTATCATATGAAAAAAAAAAAAAAAAAATATATATATATTATATATATATGTATGTATATATATATATATATATATATATATATATATATATATATCACCGCCCAATACTTTCTCCTGTCAGTCTTGCATTAGCGTCACAGCAGATTTCACATCTTCAACTTGAGTTAATAGAAGTAAGAGAGATGGTCTGCAAGTATTCCCAATGATCACATTTACCCTCCCAATGTTTCTTTAGCCGATTTAAAGGAGTAGTTCACTTTAAAAAAAAACTTTGCTGATAATTTACTCACCCCCATGTCATCCAACATGAAAAAAAAGGTTTTTGATGAAAACATTCCAGGATTTTTCTCCATTTAATGGACTTCAATGGGGTCCAAACGGTTCAAGGTCCAAATGAGAGTTCCAGTGCAGCTTCAAAGGGCTTTAAATGACACCAGACGACGAATAAGGGTCTTATCAAGCGAAACAAGTGCTCATTTAAAAAATAAATACAAA